TAAAATTTTAAAAAAAAGTTTATTGTCATCTCATTTTCCCCTATGTGTCTTTACAGTATTGTACTTCATTGACATTCCAGAATGTGATCTATTACCAAACATCCTATCTCTTCTCTTCCTTAAGTAGAAAGCCTGGAATATGTTCCTGGCTGCAGTGTGTACAGAAAATTTACCAGCCTCTCTTGCAGCCAGGTGTCAAGATTAAGCAGACATCCACAAGTTCTTCCATTAAATCTCTTAAACCTAACTGAATTTATTCATCAATAGCTACTTCCATTTTAAGAACATGTTCAGAAAATGAAATTCATATTTATCTGAGCTCAGGTTTTGCATCCAAAACCCTGAATCTCCTACTGTTTCTCTCATCTATATGTCCATGGCTTTCCCTTTGATTGTCTAACCCCTTGGTATTCTTTAGCTCTGGGAAGGCCTTATTTCTATGGTTAACTTTCATTCATCCTTGAAATCTTTCCCAAAGCCTATGAGGACATTATTCATCCTTCTACTATAGCCTGAGGCATACTATGCTTAACTCTTTCTGCATTTCTTTCTTCTCAGTTAGGCTGTGGGATTCCACATGGCATCAAGTGAGCTAGGCCTCTTTCTACTTACAGCATCACAGTGAGTCCACTCAGGCTCCTGCTGAAATACAGAGCCCATCCAGTGTATGTCCATGAAAAAAATTTTTTTAATAAAAGCAAAAAGGTAAAGATATTGAGTGGTAAATTAATAATAATAATAAAAAAAACAATCACAACTTCCAATTAATTTCAGAATCATAAAATCAAGTTTAAATGTCCTAAGAAAATTTGGAGTAGATATAGAACAAGCAAACACTTGTTCCATTTTCCCACTAAAGTCCAAATTTCTCACTAAATTTTTCTCTTCTGCTGACAATAGAATCAAGGACTTGGACTGGGTTTAGAATGCTCAATCTCTGCAATGAATAAACTAGTGAACAGAGTCAACATGAGGTGTCTTAAAAATTACAAACAATTTAATATGTAACAATAAACCCTGGGAATGTTTTATGAAATATCTTTTCTTCTCCAGAAAAGAGAGTAATACTGACATTTTTCTCACCTCATCAGTTATTTATGAAATCAGTAAGTACAGTGAAAAACACACAAGAAACACCCCAAGAAACACCCTCAACAAACAAACTAAATGCTTCCTGTGTCCTTACAACATGACCTTCAGAAGTTCACAACCAGACAAATCGAATCTCTGAACCCAACTCATAAAAGTAAAGTGAACAATTCTAACACAAATACAGAGAAGTCTGATCCCACATTCTTCCCTTAAATTCCAGTATAGTACGCAGTTACTATGCAGCCCATGATTGACCTTGAACTTGTGATCCTTCTACTTCTGCCTCCTCAACGCTGGGATTACAGATATGTGTCACATCTAGCTAAATTCATTCATCTTTATAGGGAACACCGTGTAGATTTTTTACCTTTTCATAACTATGTGTGAGAAAAATATATGCTATAAAAATAGCAACACTTTGTTCTTGTAATGGTCCATCAAGCTGCATATTAATACTTAGTAATTCATCTACTTTTATAACTATGTTTTCATATATATGAAACAATTTAGTCCTCAGTAATGACAAATACTATCATCCACATTTTACAAAAGCACAGAAATTTAACCATGGCCAACAGCTCACAAGAGACAGAGCCCACAATGTATAACCAACCAACCATGCCCCTATTGGGTTCTGGATTACTGTTTGTTTTAGTTTGAATCGTAAATGTGACCCAAAAGCTAGAAGGTTAAAGAGTTAGTCTTCAGAGGGGCACTGTCAGGCGGGAGCGAGGCCTTTAAGAGATGGAGTGTAGTGGGAGATTTTATGTCACCAGGAACATGCTTTTAGAGGGGACTGTGGGATGCTGGCCTCTTCTTCCTTCCTCTTTGCATCCATACCAGCTTGACATGAGCAGTTTCCTCCACCACAGATTCTCCACCATGAAATGCTGCCTCACAATAGGCCCGTAAGTATGGGCCAACTGAAAACTCTAAAGCTGAGAACCATGAAAAAACCTTTCCTCTTAAGTTGATTGTCTGAGGTAGTGTGTTACAGCAACAGAAAGCTTCCTACTACAGTGTAAAATACTGCCCTTCCCACACATCTGAAAAATACTCGATGGTTCAGTATTACTGGCCTAGCATCACACCTGACACCAAAATCAGTAATACAAATGTGGAAACAACTCCCAGTTCTTCCCACAGGGCTGGACTTAAATAAAAAAATCTCTTCACTCTCTCATATCGGTATCTTGTTTCATAAGGTACACCCATTCTAGCAATAGCCAAGCTAAATCTGTACTGCTTGCCTCTTCAAAATATAACCCCTCTCCAACTACCCAAAGCACAGTGCTAGGCACTGAGGCCCAGCTACGTGGGAAGCTGAATCAGGTGAATCTCTTAAGCCTGGGAGTTCAAGGTCAGCCTGGGCAACGTAGTAAGGCCCATCTCAAAAAATAAAGTAGCCACACAAACCAAATCTAAATAAAACAGCCTCTTTGCTCACACTGCAGCTAAGATGTATGCACATGAAGAACACAAGTTCTCTGCATTCTTCTTAAACAGCTAACCTATCCATGAAGCACCACTTCTCCAAACACTAGTAACTGAAAACACGTTCACTCTGTTTTTTAAATAAGTTACTACTGTGTCATTTGAATCCAGTATTGAGTGAATTTCTACCTCTAAGGTGGGACCAGTAAAACCTATCTGTGAGCCAGGATTAATCTGAAGATGAAAACTGACTAAAATTTTTTCCAGAGAAATATAAATATAAAAGTCTTCACTGAAATTGTTCTCTCATAAACAACACGTGTTAAACTAAAGAGTTATGTAACATTCCCTCTCTTGCAAACTGAGTCTGAGTTTGGATCTGATTTTTTTTATAGCAATACACACACACACACACACACACACACACACACACGCACATGCACACGCGCACATGGAAAGACAGGAAGGGAAATATATATTATATATAATATATAGTTGCTTAGACTTGCTACTCAGTCGGGGAACATGCTCACCTTAGCTTGGCAGCCTGTCACCCTCTTTTCAACCCACTCATGAAAGTCTATCTGTACACTGTGTGGGACAGAGACTCTAAGATGCCAGAGGTAACAGCATTTCAAGAGTTTGCAAAAGACCGTATTTAGCATCAATCTGCACTCCATGGTTTGTATCTAGGATCCCATTAGGAAAAGAAAAAGATGTCACAGTCAAGTAAAAAGAAAGAAAAACAAAAAACAGAACAATGAGAAACAAACCCCCAAACCAAGCTGGAGCTTGAAGCTGACAGAACCTGGACCCCACAAATACAGAGTGTTAAGGAACGAGATTTCTCGAACATCACAAGGTATCTGACCCAGTGACAGAAGGTGAAAGCAGTCCTTGCTACAAAAGCAATGTCAAGACACAACAGCTTTGAGGAGAGATGAAGACATTTGAAAAATGGCACAGTTTCTCCTTCTTCTGTTTCCCGCAAAGTGTAACCCCTATGGCATTACTTGTCCTGTTGGTTTTCAAACCTGCTCAGATATTTTTTTTAATGCCAATCAATGTCCAGGCCGCACTCCCTGGGATTTCCCTGGGTGGAGCCCTAACAGCCCTGGGCTGTTTTTGATACTTTAATCCCCATTGGGATGGAGATATAACTCAGTGATAGAATACCTGCCTATCATTTACAAGGTTCTGCGCTTGATCCCCAGTGTCACATACACAGAAAAAAATCTACATAATTCTGACGTGCAATCAAGATTGAGAACTCATGACTAGCAAAACCATGTTCTTTATGGAAGCACTTTTAAAGAAATTGACTTGCCCCTCCCTCCTCACTATGGCACAGTAAATCTCTTTTCATCATGTTACTTCCCTGATCAAGATGCTGCTAAAGATACCACATCAGAGCTCTCCCAGTCTGCTTTCTCTGGCCCTGACCTCCTTATGTCTAATTCTCCACCCAGCTCCCTAGGCTGGCCTACATTTGTCACAGCTCATGTGTCTGGATTTACAGTTTGTGTACTGTCTGTCTTCCCTGGATCGCTGAAAGCTTCATGGCAGAGACGATGGTTTGGTTTGTGTCAGGATCATCAGGGTTGAAAGATAAGGTTTGGTCCCAAAATAAATAAAATTTTCCCAATGAAAATGATGAGATTAATCAAATCGAATAGCACATTTGTTCTTTCATTATTTAAAGCCTTATCTGTGCTTGGTTCTAAAGCAAACACAGCAGAGAGAAGACAAAGTCTCGCCTATACGCTGTGCGTGTGTGTGTGTGTGTGTGTGTGTGTGTGTGTGTGTCACACGAAAATACTGAACACGAAAACACTTAAGTTCCATTTCTCAGACCTGGGATACAAACCTGGCTGGAAATTTACCATCAGGAAATGTTTCAGGATCATCTCCTCTCAGAGTTCCTTTGCTCTTTAAACAGAGGTGTTTGTCCTGTCACACCTGTTCTCAGTTTATCACTGAGGATGTACTTTCTTGCTTAATCTCCACTTTCCTTTTGGTACTCAACACTTTCTATTTTATCTTATAATTATATGCATGTTTATTCACCTTGCAAAATTCCAGACTAGACTAGGGATAGGGAGGTTGAGTAAAAAGTACATGCAGTCATAATAAAGGAATAAATATTACATTCTGGAAACAATATTTAAAGTACACGTGTGGAGGTTTTTCTCTTTGCATGTATGGGTGACATAAAAGCAGAGATTTTAAAAAATATATTTATTTATTTATTTTTCCAACATAATCCCTCACTACTAGAAATTATAATGTCTCTCCTATTTCAAGGGCAGTGTCAGAACCAGAACACGTGGAACACAAACAGTGAAACAAGAAGAAGGTAAAGTACATATTTCCATTTGTACAGTGCAGTGTACTTGTGATATACCAAATTTGCCTAAGACTAAAGACTAAACAAAATAAGCAGAAAATAGTTTGATTTCTGCCACCTTGAATATCAGGGAACAGTGCAAACTTTGTCCCCTACTACCAGAAAGTAAGTACGCAGTCGAGTTTCCTGCATTTGGGGAAACTGGGAGGTCAGGACATTCCCAATTGCAATGGAAATGCCTCACCATGGGAAAACCACCTTCCTGATCATGGTGTCTCCCCTGCCAGGTGGTATAAAAGAAACATATTGATGAAAGATGCTTCGAAAGTCTGGAGACAATAGTTTCTGCAGAAATAATGTGCGTTACTTTATCGCATTTTATGCACTTCTTCAGACACACAACAGCTGTTTATATGTAGAATGACCAGTATCTTTCATCATCATACAAATATTGAAACCTGATGTGACATAAACAGTAACATAAAAACAGGGACCCTACAGCAATTAAAAGAATGCTTTAACCACAGAGATGACCTCTCCATTTTCCTTCAAACCCAATCAGTTGATCCCATTTGTTTTCATCTAGTTTAAATCAGTCATTTAAAATTTAACCTTGTGGTCTTGCATATTCCTTTTCATTTCCTCAGTCCCTGTCAGGAACGAATATTCCAACTGATAACTTCTCTGCAGTACTGACTGTCTGGTAAATGCAATGCAGGATGCAGCTGTTCAGGGTGACAAGAAAGAAGTATTTGCAGCCTGCCAGTTATCATGGCTTCCCATTGACAGGCAAGACCGGGTGACTCCTTACAGATCACCATCAAATCTCAGCTTCACTGTTCTGTGTGTGGCTTCCACCTCCAGGGCAGCACTACCAGCGGTAGCAGGTTTTAGAATCTGTGAAGCAAGTTTTTACAGCTCCATACAGGAAAACAAAATTGATAGGCAAGCAGAAATGAGTAAATAAGTAAATAAAGTGTGTGTCAGTTTGTTAAATGCATGCTTCTATTCAATACACTAGGTAAAAATAATGTCAAGCCAGGTAATGATGATTCTGCACAAGCTGCGGCCCCATTATCATTGCCCTGGTTCATTTCAATTCTTTTTCAGAGCCTATTTTTCAGACCTATTCTTTTTCAGACCTATTTTCTATGCTTGACAAAAGACCGTCAACTCATAATTCCATGGTTTCAGTAGACACAGACAGAGCAGCATAGACCTCCCTCGGGTCTCATTAGAGTGAATTACCTAGCCTTCCTCCAATGCTTCCAAAAGACGCGGGTGTGATTCTCACATTCACCCTTTCAAAGTGACAGTAACCCCAGGAAAATCTCCAAATATTTGACAGAAGCAGCAAGGAAATGAAATCACAGAAGCCAAAAAATAAATCTAAACATCTTGGCCTACACTCTGCTCTCTGCATAGGAAAAAAATTCAAGAAAGTTGAAATATTTGTTCTGACATCAGCTCCAAAAATTGAAGTTATACTTTTAGTTACTTGTTTTTATGTAGTAAGACAATTAGGGAAAAACTGAATGACTACAAATACAATTTTAGTTCATTAGAAAAATCATAATCTCCTTAAATGGCGTTTTTAAAAAAACATGGAAAACTAAATTCTTAAGATTCTTTAAAAGACTTGTCTTAACTAGCCTAAGGTGATCCCCGAGGCACTAGTGGGTAAAAACCAGAGGGGGGGAAAGTTCAATGACCTTGTAAATTAGGGATTGCAAAAAAGCAACATGGCACTAGTGTGATAGCCTGTACCAGTCCCCATGGAATTATAAGAAAACACTTGTCCGGAAATTGCTTTTTTGGAAAATTACTATGAGGTGGGGGAAAGGAGGTGGAAGATGGGAAGGGGAGATTACAAACCATAGATGACGAAAAGGGAAAAAAACCGATGCAAAATACAACCAGCTGCCACGCAAACAACTTCTAAGCATCTTTGGATGAAAAGAAAAATAGTCCTTTTGCACAGACGTTAGCTGAATGTGGAGTTGGATGAATGGAGAGGACTTGTTATACACCTAGTGGTGGGTGGATTTCACCAGGCTGCAGCCTGCACACAGCTTTTCTTTGCTGCACTGCAGAGGCGCCATCTTCTCCGTCTTAATCTTCACTATTCAATCCTTTTAACTGCACCCTCTTAAAAAAAAGACTCTGCGGATCCTCCCCAGCATCCTGCGCCCCCCACCCCCGAGGGAGATTAAACCAGAGTCCCCAGAGCAGCCTGGAAGGAGGCTGCGCCTTAATCAAATACCTCTGTGGATGTACTGGAGTCGGAGGCTCCCCACTACCCGACACTGCCCTTTCCAGAACGCACACCCTAGTCCCCTTCCTCGGAGAGGGCTTTCCAGCCCCGCACGGATTAGCCCGCCCGGGTGGGGATAGGGTGGGCGGTCTCGGGGCCCCAGCAGCACCGCTCGCCCTCTGAGGCAGACGCGCAGCGTGGGAAGGGGGCCTCGGTGGCGCACCGACTCCCGCGCCGCCGCGCCCCGGACGGCGAGGGCGGGTGTCACGGCTTTTGTTCCCGAGGACCTTCTCCATCTCCGGGAGAAGCTGAAGGTGCGATGGGGCGCCCGGGACGTCAGGGCTGAGGGACCGTGCCAGGCTGTCGCGGCTCTCCGACCCCTCCCGTCTCTCGCAACTTACACAAAAGGGAGATGCACAAAGTTTGCCTGCCTTAGGCGGTGCGCGACCCCGGCGTCCGCTCCGGCCAGGGATGCAGCGCAGACTTCCGCCGCCCGCTGCCGCCCAGGGTAGAGGGGTGGCTGGCAGGGAGGACCGGTGGGGGTGGGAAGGGAAGATGAGAGCGAGAGGAGGCGGCCAGGAGAAGCCAGGAGGTTCCCCCGCGCCTGGGGCGGCCCCGATTCCAACCCAGGACCCCAGAGAAGAGGAAGGGCGGCGGTTTCCGCGCGGGGAACTAACAGGATCCAGAGACCCTACGCTTTCGGTTTTCCGGTTTTCCACACGTGTCCACCCCTTCCCCCCATCTGGACGTCCCTCGCGTCCCCAAGAGCCGCTCACAGGGTCGGGAAGAGTCGAGGTCTGAGCTCAGGGTCGTCCCCAACCTGGATCTGGGGAGCCCCGAGCCTCCCCCGCTCCCTCTGCGTTCGTCGGGCAGGGCGTCCCCGGGCTTGGCCAGAGACACAGATGCGCAGGGCGCCCGCCAGCGGGGGCGGGGACCCCTCCACAGCACCTCGCTTCTCAAGATCCAAGCCCTGGGGTGGGGAGGATCGGGTCCTCCCGGTGCCCACCTTCCCCCAAGCCTACCCCAAAGCGCGGCACCCACCTCCAGCGCCCGCGCCGTCCAGGCGGCCAGCAGGAGCAGCGCCAAACTGGGCAGCATCGCAAGCCTGCACCGGGCACCGAGTGCGCTGCTGAGCGAGTGGAGATCCGCCGCGCCCTTGCCGCGTCCGCCTCGCCGCCGTCTCCCAGGCCCTCAGGCTCGCTCGCTCGCTCGCTCGTTCGCTCTGCTCCCGGTCCTCTCGCCTCCCGCCGCCGAGGAAACTGACGGAGCCGGAGCGCGGCGGGGCTGGGAGCCCAGCGAGTCAGCTGATCCGGCCCACCCCGCTCGGAACGCGCGGGAGACCCCTAGCGGAGCTCCGGGGAACTGCAGCCACGCTGCGGGAGGGGACGGTGGCCCCTAGCGCGCAGGTACGGCGTCCTCCGCACCCCGCGAGCCTGCGGGACCCGCCGCCCCCCTGGGCTTAGGGGACAGAGGGAGGGACGATCTGGGTCTCGGAGAGGAGCCAGCAGGGCGCGGGAAGGTGAGTCCTGGGACCTTTGGGCTCCAGGATGGTCGGGAGCGCTCCCTGCTCGTCCCCGTGAGCTTGAGTCACCCGACCCCCGCAGGCCTCTCCCGGATGAGCTAGGAGGAGCACTGGGGTGCATTTTATCCGCAGTTCGGTTTTTATCTAGGTTTGGAGAGGTGGAGCAGGCGTTTGTGCAGGACAACAGGAGCATTCGAAGCTTAAAGGAAATGGGATTTCTTTGCTGATTGAGAGAGCAAACACCTCCCGTGTGTGTGTCTGTCCACCCCCACCTTCCCAAGCAGCCTGGAATTTCTGTCTTTAGAACGCACCACAGAAAGGCTCCAGACCTGGGAAACAGGATGGCGACCACCCATTTTCTTTCTCTGGAAAAAAAAAAGGGGGGGCTTGGGGTCTTTAGGGTGGGTTGTTTTAGTGTTACATTTTGGGGTTCATTTGGGGATTTTCGGAGAAAGGAACAGTCATCCGGGATTTGGGAGGAGGGGGCGAGGCAGGGATGTCAAAATCTAAGATGGAGAAGAGATAAAAGTTGATCTGGAGAAATGATTCCTGTTTTACCTCCATAACTGTGGACTTCCGTCCTCGAACTCTGCCCTTGTTCCTCACTGTATGTGTCCTAAATCACAGAACTAAACCTTCTGTAAAACCATTTTCTGTTAGACACACTGTCCAGTGCTCAGTTATCGTAGAATGCTCAAGAACCATCCAGATAAGCCCCCAGCTCCCAATCTGATGTGGCATCAGACCCCAAGGCACTGTCCTGCTAGTGAGAACGAACAGGCGACAACGAGGTTAGTCTCTAGTCCTCTTAGGGCAGCACTACACCTGCCTTTCTCTCTGGAACCTTCTCTTTCACAGACCAAAGAATCCCTGCATAGTGGGAGATGGCCCAGCCAGGGGACTCTGCCTCCTCTTCCTTTTCTGAGAAGCCAGCATTGATGTACCAACTCCCCCCAAGAGTCATCTGTCTCTTTCCGACTACACATTCAATCCTGACCCTTGAATCACTTTTATGTCCTTTGAATGTCCCTTGAATGTCCCCCAACAACAGATATTTACTATGCTGTATTTGCTTTGATTTTTTAATGTCACTCACTTCCTACAGAAACCAAGGAAAGGCTAGGGTGATAGCTAGGCCAGGGAACTGCTTGCCCAGCAAGCATGGGAACCTGAGTTCCACCCACCCAACATGAAAAAAACAGGCCTCCTGACTCCGGGTTGAGAGTCAGAGACAGGCAGATCTCTGGGGCTAGCACAATGGGAAAATTCTAGGCCAACAGAGAGAACTGCCTCAAAAAACAAGGTGGACCCCACCTGAGGAACACCACCAGAGGCTGACTGCTGCGCCCCCCCCTTTATCTTTGGGAACCTGAGTTCCACCCACCCAACATGAAAAAAACAGGCCTCCTGACTCCGGGTTGAGAGTCAGAGACAGGCAGATCTCTGGGGCTAGCACAATGGGAAAATTCTAGGCCAACAGAGAGAACTGCCTCAAAAAACAAGGTGGACCCCACCTGAGGAACACCACCAGAGGCTGACTGCTGCGCCCCCCCCTTTATCTTTTTACACACGCGCGCGCAGGCGCGCGCGCGCGCGGGCACACACACACCCACACACAAACACTCACACACACACACACACACACACACACACACACACACACGAGCCAAGGAAGCCGTTGCTATTATATCCTGATTTAAAAGTCAGAGAAAACCAGGGACTGGAACTGTAGCTTCATGATAGAGCTCCTGCTCTGTAAATGGGAAGCCCTGGGCTCAGTTGCACTAGCACAGCAGGCCCATGTCCCATCTGTAAGTTAGGAAAGGGAAGAAAGTGAACTACTAAACCTGACAGCAAAAAGGTGATGCAAAATTGAAGCCAATGTGACAGAAATAAATAAGTAAATAACCAACCAGATGCTCTTTTACTACATGATATTCTTTCCCAAACACACCTACCATCAAGATTTCATGTTTGGTTGAGCAAGGCAGGTGCCTGCATGACTTGGAGAAGGGGAGAGAATGGTCTGCCTCCAAATTTTGTGAGGTCTTACTGCAAAATGAAAACTTGGAGCCTTTTGTTCCAAAATTAAATTTTTTTAACAGGATGACTGCCAGATATGACGCACAGATCGCAGGCCCATACATCCCAGGGAAAAGGGGAAGCAGCTTAAAAATATATTAAGGGGCTTTGTTGAGCAGACAATTAAAAAATACAGTGGTAAATGATAACCTGTAAAAATAAGATTTCTTAGATTTAGCAGTTCATTTTCATAAAACGAAGTTCATTCCACTCACACATTCCTAATCAAGATGTTCTCAGAGGAAATGATCAACTCCTGATTTGTGTCAGAAAGAAGGACATCTACATTTTCTTTTGAAACTTTTTTATTTAAAAAATTTTAAAGATTTTTATTTTACTTGTTTTTGTGTTTGTGTACTTGTTTTTGTGTGAGTGTGTGTGTGTGTGTGTGTGTGTGTGTGTGTGGTGTATGACTATATGCCATGTGTATGCAGGTTCCCACCAAGGATAGAAGAAATTAGATCCCCTGGAGCTGAGGTCAGGCAGTTGTGAGCTGCCCAACATGGGTGCTGGGAACTGAACTCGGGGCCTCTGAAAGAGCAGGAAGCACTCTTAAACAGGAAACCATCTCTCCAGCCCTATTTGTGTGTGTGTGTGTGTGTGTGTGTGTGTGTGTGTGTGTATACAGGCATACACATGCCATAGCATGCATGTGGAGGTCGCAGAACAACTTTTAATCGTCCATTCTGTCCTTCTATCTTGCTGAGGCAGGGTCTCTCTTGTTGTTTCTGCCCTGCTGTGTGCTCCAGGCAGACTGGCCCTGAGCTTCCAGATAAGTCTCTTGTCCACCTCCCATCTGGCCTTTAGGAGTTTGCCACAGTCATGGCATCTGACTTTTGTTCATGGATTCCCTGGGATCTGGCTTTTTTGTGCACATGGATTCCTGGCACTGCTTAGGTTGTCAGACTTGTGGGGCAACTGTTTTTACCTGCTGAGCCATTTCTTTGGCCTGAGCCCTACATTTTCTCCTGTCTTATCACCACCCAGAGATTCTGAGGGCTATTTATATCTCACCACTTCCTCTCCCCTCAGTAATGTCATTTCCTATCCTGAGGTATCTTCCCAAACCGTAAGCAAGACATATAAAAACATGCTTGGTTAGAATCCCAGGGAAAGGCTGGGCCTGGTGGCATACTCCTTTAATCCCAGCACTCTGGAGGTAGAAGTAGAGGATCTCTGTGAATTTGAGGCTAGCCTGGCCTACGTAGTGAGCTCCAGGCCAACCAGGACTATATATTGACACGCTGTCTAAAACAAAAACAAAAGCAAACAATACCAACAAAAAAATCCCTGACTAAGAAAGCTGTTTGCTGTGATTCCCTACAACAGCCCAGGCTTAATGAGTCCACTGTGAGATTTTCATTAGCAATTTAGACAGGGCGTTCTATCTTTGAGATAACTATCAAATATCTGGTTCTAAAAAGTTCTCACCACCTACTAACACACATAGATGTGGTATCACCTGTGAACAAACACTGACCAAACAGAACCATTCGTTTCTACAGCATTCGTGATTGCATAGCTTTCTGGCTCTTTCTACCTCCAGAATCCTCTCTTCACAAGCTAAGTCGCACAAGTGACATGGCCTCTGCTTCCTTCCGTACCATAAATAAGTTCTGTTTTGTTGTGTCTGTAGCTTAATGTTGCATTTGATTTTTTAAAATCGTACTTATGTCTTAGGTGAATGAGTGTGCACATATGCGTGTCACATGTGTACAATGTTCACAGAGGCCTGACAGAGAGCATTGGATCCCTTGGAGCTGGAGTTACAGTTGTGAGACTCTATATGGGTGCTGAGAACCAAACCTGGGTCCTCTGCAAGAGAGGAGCCAGTATCCTTAACCACTAAGACATCTCCCCCCACCCCTACACCGCTCTTTGTAGCAACATTGCACTGTGGACTCAGAATGCTCACACTTGCTACCACATCTTCCACTGCCATTTAATGCATGGTGCTGCTAAGGAAGCTGCTTCTTACATTTAGGCAGTCATTCATGCCGCATAAATATTACCATGAGCAATGGAAAGTCTGAGCCAGAAGAGGAGCTCTTGGTTAATTTGCTAGGACTGCCGTGACTAAATTCCACTGACTAGGAGTTGGGCACAAATGCAAGACATAGGCTAGCCTCTTTGTAGCTCTGCGTTCCATCACCAGAAATGTGAAACAAAGCAAAGCAAAACCCACAGAATATTAGACGGTTTAAATAACAGATACTTCTTCTCTCACAGTTCTGGAAGCTGGAAGTCCAAGGTCAGGGTGTCAGCAGGGCTGATTTCTTCTGACATATCTATCTGTGGCTTGGTGTTGGCCCGTCTTCTGTTTTCATGTCTTCTTCCCCATGTGTGTGTTATATCCAGTTCTCCTCTTAAAGAACACCAGTTACACTGAATTAAAATCCTCCCTATGAACTTACTAACTTAATTACCTCTTTAAAAATCTATGTATGTCCAACATAATAACATTCTGAGGTTTGAGGGGATTAAGATTACAACATAGGAGTTTTGGAGCAAGGAGGTTTAACAGGCTCACATTTAGGCAGCTAAGACTAGCTCTAGAATCCTGTCACTAATATTAGACATTTATTATCAATGGCCAGTTGTCCTTCTGACCTTTTCAGTTAGAAGATCATTCTGTGGACAGTGAAGATAG